TATAATTTTAAATAGTTAAGGTATTCTCTTCCTATATATATATATATATGTTGATAATGCAGAGGTCGTTGATGCATTGATCGGTAATGTATTTGTCATAATTTGAGATGAATAGAAAGTTTCATCGAGAACCATGATTTTAGTTTTTTGTTCGATTGAACGTTTTTCTGAATCGGCTAGGGCTGAATATCCGCGGGATCGAAATAGGCGTGGAACTAAAAAGATAACAAGATAGTTCAATTGAACCTTTCAAAATTAATATATTACTATTCACCTTTAATAATTGTAATTGACCATGATCACTTTCAAAATAATGTAGGAATTTTAATAATAAACTGATCTGTGGAAGGTTTTGAATATTTCCCAGTTTATCTTCAATAATGAGATTGCATATGATATGAATCTTATTTTATTACCATACCTACTCTGTGACATTTGTAACCGAAATTACCTGCAGAGAGATGAAAAACAATTGACTCTCCTATTTCTTGTTTCCTCCTCTTTTATTCCTCTTTTTCACAACTCTGTTATCCGTTAATTTTGTATGTACTACTCAATAAGATTATGACTGAAGAAGTTATGCTTTGACAGATTATCGTTCTTCGTATTCTGTACCGTATTAGATTTGACTAGCATCAAGATTTAAATCCATATTTAGGTGTCCTTCAATTCAATCCACTTCGTTCAAGTAACGAATGTTGAATTATTATAGTAAATTGATCCGCAGATAATAGATAAATAACAACGAACGATATAATTAGATAGTGAATTGAGGCTTGGTCTAATTGCTACAATCGTTCTTCGCCAAGTACAGTTTTTCAACATATATTTCGATCATTCACCGGTATTATTTTAGATTAATGTTTATATCCAAAATTTTTGACATGAAATCAGAAATGTTGAAAGAAACTAATTCAAAATTTGTAAGTTGAGTGCTCACTACTTATCATCAAAATAAATCTCGAGAAAGATAACAACATTAAACCAACAAATAGCGCAACTTAAAGCCACAAACATAAATGCTCGACCTTAGTTACTTTTAGTAAAATTTTATAAAAAGAATGTTTTCGTGAAAAAGGCTTTCCTTCGTGTGAAAAAATAGTTTCAAAAATTTTTAAAAACTGATAGCGGATTTGGATTCTTCGACCCCAAAAACCCATGTATCTAATTTTTCTTAGACCTATTGATGAATTTTCATTGATTTAGCGTATACGAAATTCTGATTGGCTTGATCGGACAGACAGACAGACAAACTTTAAGCACTTTAGCCGGCGTATATAAACGTCATATAACCCTTTCTTTCAGAAAAGGGAAGAAAACATATTATTCTTTTTAACTTTGAAAATAGAAGAAAACAAGTTTCTAAATTAATTTCTATATCATCGAAGATTGTTTACGAGATATCTTCCCTTTCTTGCTCTGTTCTGCAAAGAGTGGCATGCTTTTTTCTTTCTCTTTTATTTATTATAGTATATAAGGCATGCAATGGTTGACTGTTGTTTTATTATGTTTATATTACAATAGTGAACATGGCTGACAATTTAACTAAACAATAAGTTTATTCTTATGCTGAAAGAGAGTTTAAGAAAGTGAAAGAGGAAAAGATACATGTAACTAAAAAACAGCTCGTATGTATATAATCATTATACTAGGATAATATTCAAATCATTTTTCTCCTAGATACGATACTAAAAAAGTTTTTTTCTGATGAATATTCTGGTTACAGATTGTGGATCTCATGTATTATTGATCACAAGTTCTTGATACTCACATCCATACAGTTCGTCATTGTGGTATTAACGGTGAAGCCGCTATCGTCGACTGGAAGAATTTTATATGGGATATCTGTGTAGAGTATTGCATTAAACATTCATCGACGATTAGTGGTGATGGTGTTATATCGTTTAGGTAGATGAGACTGCTTGTACTAAGCGTAAATATAATCGAAGGTAATTATACATTTCTGTCATATGACATATCTATCTTCTCTTTATCTGTTAGTTACTAGGTCACCATCAGTACTCAACGTGTGTTTGATGGAATTGGTTGTAACACTCGCGAATGTTTTCCAGTCCTCGTAGAAAAACGAGATACTACGACATTACTACCAATCAATCAAGAATTTATTATACCCGATACTCTGATCGTCACCGACCAGTGGACGGCTTACAACAACATCGTGTCTTGCCCAGAGGGTTATCAGCACCAAACTGTTAACCACTCGTTGCACTTCGTCGATTCTGTAACACATGTAAAGGTGTATAAAGAGAAAAAAGAAGCAATAAATGGGACAACACAGCAGTATATTATCTACTCAGTTAGCTGAATTTGTGTGGCGTCGAAAGTTTGGAGACAGACCATTTGAGAATCTTGTGAAGAAGTATCCTGGTCGATTACATCAATTAATATACGATGCTGATAAAGATAGTAAGCTATGACAAATATTATTTTACGTATAATATATAAAAATCTTTATAGGAACAGATAATGTTGAACTTGAAGATTTCATGAAAATTGTTGATGATTTACTCAATCAAGAGAAAGATGATGATGATGATGATGATGATTTTCTAGTAAGTCTGACTTTTTGCCAATAAAATTGTATATTTTTGATATAGCTTGTATTATGAAATTTCGTTTAGACCTTGAGGATGACGGTGTGGGTATAAGTTAAGAGTAGAGATGCCCACACCCATAAGGAATTATAATTGTAGGTGAAAATGGAGAGGAGAACAAAGCAAATCAGTTATATCACCCATTTAGTTTGTCATTCGATCGACAAGGTAGTCTTTATATCGTCGAACGTGAAACTCATCGTGTTCAGAAATTTTCAATTGAAAATAATTGATATTCGATATGTGTTCTATTTCTGCTCGATTGTTTTGAACTAAATGATTGCTTATTATTTTAACATGAACTCAGTCTCTAATTCTATATTGAAGGAGAAGGAGCAAGCTACGAATTTGTGTGAATTATATTCTGCAAGCGCATATATCGAAAACATTCGATAATTTTTGTACCTTAATCAAAAGTATTCTACACACTAAAGAAAACAAAAATATCAAATTATATTCAGCCATTTTTAAAATTTTTTGTTTGTATCGCTCGTATTAACCATGGAAAACAATTTGATGAAATAATAATATAAATTCCAATTCCAATAAATACAATCGGAACAATATAAAAAGCATATTTTTGTGCAATTTTTCGTATGGGGCGAAAATTAATAAAAAAATAACAGAATATAAGCCAAACAAACACTAGACCAAGAAAAATACCAACATAAACAATTATTTGCCATGCTGATGCCTCAGAAAATAATGGAGTATAGATAGAAACATTATCACCACTATTTGCTAAAGTAATACATGCAACTTTTAATATTTGAATATTTGCAAAACGATTCAATAGTATAAGGAACTTTTGTTTACATTGAATCATTGAAGAAGCATCATTTATTTTACTTTCGCTTCCTATTGGAAATTCAAATGTAAGTTGTCCATTATGGTCGTCTCTACAACGAATTGTTTCAAGTTCAACAATAGAAATTTCGTCAGATGGTATAATTTCATTTATATCGATCTTAGATTTTCCACACAATTTAATAACTACTTTAATAGTATCTTTAATACCAAGAATAATAGGTACAAAACCAAGAAATCCAAGTATTTCAACAGGTACTGAAGTTGTTGATATTCCATAACCAATAAGACTAATTCCTAATATAATGATAAAACCTAAGTATTGACCAATAAAAATATGATGAACTTTAAGTGGTGAATCGTCTATTGATGCTTCAGTAAAGAAATTCATTAAAATAACAAGATCATCTGCATTGGTAATTATATAAGAAACAAATGCTTTTCCAATAACTTCTCCAACACTTTTGGTTGTTTTATTCATATTACTTTTCTTTTGAATTAAACTTCACTATTATGATATAATATTTTTGAGAATCGTTAATATAGAGATAGTTTAAAGTACTGAAACATATTTAAAACTTATTCTTAATAAGAGGTAAAACAGTACTTACCAACATATACGTTTGATGAATATAAATCTGTCTTATACAAAAAAAAACATGTGAATATGAAACCAGAACAGAACGAATACTATCTGTTTTACTTCATCAAAAAAGCAAAAGAATGACATATTGTCTATTGACTAATCGAAAGACGTCACACAATGAGTCAGTCAATTGTTAGTTATATATTAAGCAAATACAATAATTTATAATAACAACTAGTAAATATATATACAAAACTTCTATTCAGATATGACCATAAGAATATTATTACTGAATCTTTTAAAAACACATATGATTATTTTGATAACAAAATTCTTTTTTTAAATAGTTATACATAAAACATTGAGAATAACTTTTAAATAATTTGTATTTATTCATGGTTAATGCATAACGAATCTTTTTTTCTAGAAATAAAGAGCACAATTTATCAATTTTCGTTATGAATTTGCAAGAGCAATAATGGAATGTGGGTATTATATTCACTTCTATCATTACAACGTTCGACAACAGATATATGTGCATGTTTATTGGTTGGATGTCATGACGACGATGAAGAAAAATATAGAAAAGAGATAAAATACTCATTGTCGCTCCCTCTGTTATTGATGTACATTCATATATATGGTCAGATACAAAACAACTTCGCAAAAGTCTTTTCTCTTGTATTTAAATTTTTAGTCTTCGATATTAACATGAGATTAAAGCAAAAATGACGAACAGTTTAATTAAAACTCTCATTTCTGAAAAATATTGACTAAAACTTGTCCGCCACCACTGTCTGCCATAAGCCAAAAGCCGAAAGTATAGTTTTCGCCAATGATGAGTGAAACATTCTGCGCAAGAAAGTCTGGATAAGACTTAGCAGCATCTTGCCAGTAATAAATACCCGAATGATTCCGACCTCCTTGTGCTGCTGTCGTTATATAGCCCGCATAGCCGGAATTGTGTGGATTGCAATAGATCCAAGATGCAGTACTACCCATTTCGAATCCACCGTTAAGTAATAATTCTGATCCATTGGAATTTATAAGAGAAAAATCATCAAAATCCCAGTACCAGGATAGTCGTTGAATGCTGATCGTGATCAGTGCACTTGAATAGATAGCCGTGAAATTGTATTCATACAATGAATAAGAAAAACCATAGCTCATTGTTAAATTGATAGCTATCATGTTAATTCCAGTCGAACAGACGTTTGACATACCTAAAATTCAACAACATTTATGAAAGTATTAGATTAAGCAATGTGTATCTAAAAAAACATAGCTCACAGCTTTATAATATCTAGATAACAATCCAATATACTCAAGCTAATCTCTTACCTGTTGTGGGACATGTCTCCGGAGTACAAACGAGATTAAAAGAATTCGAACGGCATTCATCTTGTTGGCTGCAACTTTCTCCAGCATATTTTTGATTTTTGCATAGTAATCCATCCCAATAGGTGTTAGGTGGACAAGCGCATACTTGATTGACACAAATAAGATATCGATTCATTTGACACTGATTACATGTTAGTCCATAGGCAATGTATAGAAAGGCGTCGAACGAAATAGAACCAACTTGAGAGGAGAGGGAGGCGGAGCTGACCAATTGCCCAGTTGACACATCTCTTTCGAAGAGTCGACACCAATTGCTTTGGATGTCATAATCAAAAGTGCGACACTGGAGATTTTGATTGCATTGTTGGACACACCGTATGAAAGATATTTCCCATGTGGTAGAAAGTAGCTCCACTGAATTTGCTGGTGAGAACTCTATTCCCAATCTGCTCAAAGCAATATCACTTTGATAATCCATAAGAACTACTTGGGACAACCACATGCAATAAATTATCATAAAAAAGCGACGATCGTGGCACATTTTGCTGGATACTGACTCCTTTGTTGATTCTATGTTTCTTTTTATCTCTAATTTTAAAATAGAAAAGAAATATTACTAATGGTATACTTGAACTACACATAATTCAATTCTTGTACAGTTTCAATGGCTCTCCATTCATGTGATCTCAGCTCTGACATCGTACGCTTGTTTTCAAGTGTTCTGATCGCAACTTATTGGTACACTTTCCCAGTCAGTGAGAAAATTGTCGTTTCTTATAAATAATACGGTGACTTACTTTCGATAAAACACTAATTCATTAGGAGATTCGTACCGGTCTTAAAAAAATTGTTATTGGGAATAAGACGATTTAATATGAGTTCAAAAATTATTCGAAATAGTTTATACAAGATCAGTTTCCTCTGTTATCAAATCATATCATCAAACGAGAGAAAACTTATACTAAGACAGCTGATGGATCTGGTGGGAGATTTAAAAAATACCTATATCATAGAAACTAAACGTTTGTTAGGTGTTTTCTTATATACAATCAAGTCTTGTTGCTGTTTCTCACATCAATAGTTTGAAATCAAGAGAGGATAGACTCACTTGCACCTCGACTCTGCGTTCGACGAGTGATCTCTTTACTCTAACAGTTCAATGAACAAACAAAAAAGAATGAACTTTTATTAAATTTTCTTTTCTAAAACATTTTTTTCTTACTTTATTTGCTAAATTCATTAAATATGATCGATGCAAACAAACATCAATAATTTTTCTTCCGTTAGTTTACTTATATTTTAAAAAAAGTATTTGTTTTTCATAAATTATTTATTATTTATTCAGAAGATACTGAGATATCACATATTTACTTTTGTATAATAAATCAAAGATTCGATATATAATGAATGCATCAAGTATATTCATATACCTATACGAGTAAAAATTCACTAGAATATTATATACGGTCTTTGTATTTCTAGCAGTGTTTGAGGTTGAGTGTGGGTGGATCAGTGTCTGGGTTTGGATGGGTATTAGTGCGGATGTGAGTGTGTGTAAGTTAAGAGTAGAGATCAGAGACCGTCACAGGGCATGTTTTTTGGCCCGGCCCTGCCCCGCCCTGCAGGGCGTATAACTTGATCTTCACTGTTAAAACATCTGATATCTTGACAAAAACGTTTTTTAATTGAATATGTAATGTTGGGGTCTTACTTTATTGTTACTGATTTTTACAATGAAGAATATATATAAGTAAAATCTGCATATTTACAGAAGATAACTATAATACCAGTTTATAAAAGTAAATATATGTGTAGTATTGATATTTATGAAATACAGCGAAAGACTTTTTCTTGCTATACTGCAATGATCAATACTTTTTTTAATTTGCTTTAATAAGATAAAACAAATAATAAAGGATCTATTTATATAAAAAAAAAGCCTAATCTTTAATGCTTATCAAGCAGCTCATAGAAATATACGATATTATGAATATAAATAAAATATTCAAAAAGTCTATGATATTAGTTTTTTTATTTTTCCACTTCATTTATGAATAGTGTTACGTATCTAAGTGATTTTGATGGTGGGTAAGAATACCTATTCACATACTCTATTATTCTAGACATTTGTATATTTACCTATGACATGAAAAGCTTTACCCCTCATTTCTATTTTATCTTTGGTTATGAAAAAAAACTGATCAATCTTTATTTTATCAATGTATAGGTTATATTTACGCTTATTCTATGAGGCATAGATAAATTAGCATATTTTTTCAATCCTTATATTTTTTTCATAATATTTTGGAATCAAGTCTGATGTGTAGTTACAAGCATCGGTTAGACAAAAAATGTAGCAGAAAATTAATAAAAACATTAGAAATCGAAGTATAATGTATAGTAAAAAAGTTGTAACTGGGACCGGAGTATTGCAAAACAGATACTTAATTGGTCTTGATATCAATATAGTTGATTAGAAAAATTTCCCCAAAAACATACTTATGAAAAAAATTAGCAGGGCGAAAAATCTTGCTCTGTGCCCTGTTGCATCCTGCCCTGCTCTTGCCCTCAGAGCAGGGCAGGGCATCCCTGCCCTGTAACGATGTCTGATAGAAATACGCACACTCACAGTCACAGTCACACCTACTCACATCCATCGCACTTTTAAATAACTGTATTTTTCTTATATTAAAATTTATATTCATAAAGGAAATCGATATATCTAAATAAACTGATCAGAGTAACCTTTGAACAACACCTAGACTTAATAGTATTTCGAAGAAACCTCTCGATTATTGTCCAATTATTATGTTTTCATAAACTATCATAGATTTTGTAATCAATTGAAATTCATATTATCTCAAATATCTTATATTTGAAATCATTGACAACTTTTTCCAATAATAAGTTTGATTAGAGTCCATAAGGTAAACAGAAATTTCAATAGTCATATAATCGTTAAAATGGTCGTATAGATATTATTAGAGATACGAAAGACTATTTTGTGTCTTTTTCTTGAATAAGAAGCAAAGCAGAGACGGTTAGTCAAGAATTGTTTCTGTGAACATCGACAAGAGTGAACCAATAGATTTTCTTTTTTCTAATTAATTTCTAAGATTTTAGAGGAAACAAATTTATTCTTTTTATGAAGATTGTGTAAAAAAGATATAAGCAAAGAAAATGTATTTGTTAATCCATAATCTTGAAAATCTAAAAACATCGATTTATCGTATAAAAATGATCTTGTTCAATAATTAACAAATAGGAAAAATATTCAATATCAAGAATTTATTCCTTTTACAAGGAAGACTAATTAAACGATTATTCGCTCGAAAAGGAACATATTCTATAGAGTACAGAAAATATGATTTCTATGAGAATAATTATACAAATTTCATCGATGAACAATAACTTTTCAGATAAATTATCCTACGTTTACAAACCAAATCACTTTATTATCCTTGAAGTATTTAATTAAACTGAGACATCTTCATCAAAAATTTGCTTCATAGACCGATACATGAAATATTATCTTATTATAAATATTTAGAATATTTTTCAATGAATAGTGAATTTTATTGAAATCAATTTAAATATATCATGTTTACGGCATAAGAGTATATGAATAAAGCGGATTAACACACTATAACGTTACTAATAGACAGCGAGTAAATGTATCATTTAAAAAATAATAATAGGAAAGTGTTTAACATTGAAATTCTCTGAAGAAATGAACTATTTATTTTTCATATAAGATCACAAGAGAGAGTGATATGAGATAATTCAAACTTGAGTATAGAATAAAAAGAATACCAAATAGAATCAATCTAAAATGTTGAATTTTCCTGAAAATTATTCATAATAGAAGAAACTTTATTATTGAATGGACGTGAGATGAGTTTGATACTTATACACACATTTTTTTTTGTTAATCTCTTTAGGTTTCTTTTCTATCACAAAAACAACATGATCTATAATCACAAGTTGATAATGATTACTCTAGCAAATAACATACTCGTCAGTCAACAATTCAGTATTATTAGAATCCAAAAGACATAAAATAAGTATTTAGTCATGTAAAAAACCTCTTTCACTCCAGTTATTTATGATACATTCATAAATGTAAAGAATATTTTTATTAGTTTTTTTTCTAACCAAACATAGAATAAAAAGAGAAAACACGTCGTCAACTTTGTTTATTAATTTTTCTAATATAGTCATGAAGATGCCGTTTTCCATCTGGACAAAATTTTTTTTGTTGTCATCATTGTTTTACTGAAACGCACTTTTTTTTGTGAAGCAGTGTAATTTGTATAATTGTGTTTCTAACAAACATACATGTTTTCATCGTTTCTTTTGTAGACTAATCAAATAACTTGCCAAATAATTTTCTTCTTCTACATACACTATATATTAAAGCAGTATATACAAATGAAAAAAAGAAAGGACGTCAGATATTCTTGGATGAATATTTTTTCTTAAGAAAAACACCTATTAAACTTACTTTAGAATACTAAGAAATGCTTCTTTGAACTGATTCAATATAAAAACTATTTTTTGTTCCAATAATAATCTAACTATTTCAATCGTTTTTATATAAATGAAGAAAAATGCAATTAACTACTAAATCATACAACACAACATTCTTTCATTCGACAAAACTTGAAATATAAAAATGATACTAGAGAATACACAGAAAGAGAACGATTTCGGTAGTATTTGCTACATTCCGTCCGTAAATCCTCATCCACACTCATTGAGTTAGTGTTTGAATTTCTTCTCTATTGATACAATTCATCCGATCATTCTTTGCTTGAGTATCGATGGTAGGTTTCCTTCTATATTAATGGTATGACAGGTTTCTCATATAGTTGATAACGTGTAAGATAAGTTTGAAATATTGAAATCCAATTTTCTTGGATTGATCGCTTTTTATGTTTTTCATCTGTATTTACTTCCTACATAACATATGAGATCTATTTGTGAATATATTTGTCATTGAACAGCATACAAATATAGAAAAAAACTTTTCCTGGATTGGTTTTTTTTTTGAAAGTAAAATACAATTCATGACTATTTTTTCATTAGATTAATGGAATAAAATGAAAGAAAAAGAAATGCTACACTGGAAAGAGTGAGAAAGAAAAAAGAAAAAAAATAATGTTTATCGCTTGATAAATATGTTGCATTTTCTTCAGAGTTACCTTCATTTGAGTAAATTACAGTCGTGTTGGTGATGTATTCAAGAAGAGTTTCTCTATGGTTATTATTTATGATTATTACACAATCACTCGGAGAAGATATGGGATCAGTTTTAATGTCTTTAATGACTGGTTGGAAATTTGGATGTGCGAATACAACTTGTTTACCATTCATTAAGGTTATTACACCAAATATTATCAGGTGTCAAATGGCTTGTTTAACTCAAACTCCATGTCAATCAGCCACTTTTCATCGATCAACGTCTAACTGTGAATTGTTTGTTGATATGTTGAACGAAAACGGCAATATGTTGGCTGATATGGATACTATTAGTATGAACGTTATTACTAGAACACGATCTCTACCAGGTTAATATGAGTATGACAGATTTAAATAGAAAATATGTCTGAGAAAAGTCAAGTATTTTCTTCGTTTAATTAATCAGATCGTTTGTGATTAGTAAGCAAAAAAGCAGGAGAATTATTTATTTTTGTTTGAAAAACTTCACATCATTTCAGTAAAATGTTTTGATAATCTATTTGTGTCACTTATAATGACTTTGTCAAGTTTACATAATTTCAACAAAACTAGTAGAAATGCAAGAAGATTTGAACAATAAAGAATAATTTCCAAAATTTATTGTCCGATTTAGGTTTATTTTGATAGAATCAATACTGAATAAATATTTTGTGAATGTTTCTATATAAATAGAGAATAGGTATTGATTTACAGTAAAACCATTAGTTCTTTGCGGTTATATGAATGCCCACCTCCCATACTGTTCTACGAATCTAGATAATTATCATCGAGGAATATAGTCTATCTTTGATTAAGTAGTTTTCACTTACTGTTAAGTAAAAACCACAAAAAATTGTTTTGAGAAATTTTACTGTAAAACACAATACAGGAGATGTCATGTATAAGAAGACGTAGTGGTTCTGATTATTGAAGTCAGTGGCACTTAGAATAAAATATCATTCTCTACATTTTTCATACAGTGTAATCGATCCGAGAGCAACACTGTTTGAATGCTATAAGAGTCAATCTACGTAGTTCAAAAATCTTTATTACTAAGTTTAGTATAAATGTGAATCTTAGTGGTGAGAATTGTTGTAGTATAAAACGAATCAATGTAAAGAGTGTAGAAGAACAAAGATGGAGTAAATCAGCCATAAATAACATTTATTTTGAACGTTCTCGAAGTCTATCTACCAGGATTCTCTAGAGAGTTCTCATTTCTTAAGCAACTCACTGGGGACTTTTTTTTCATAAAAAAGAAGCCCACTAGGTTTTGAACATATGCTATTCTATTATAATATACTCACAACCACAGTAGATACATAGTTAGATATCGAGAAGTAAGAAGATATTAGCCAAATCTAACCCAATCTTCTAGTCTAATTTTTAATCGATTTTTACTAAAATAGAACCAACCACGACATCGACGCCAATACCACCATCATCGTCGACAACATCAGCATCATCAACACCATCGACATCATCAGCATCATTATCGTCAACACTACCAATAGCATCATCAGCGACAACATCGTCATCGGCATCATCGTCGATACCACCAACATCATCGTCAACATCAGCAATAACATCATCAGCATCGGAATCATCGTCGGTACCACCAACAACATCGTCATCAGCATCCTCATCAATAGCACTAACATCCTCGTCATCATCAGCAATAACATCATCAGCGACAACATTGTCATCGGCATCATCAATATCGGAATCAACAACAACAACATCGTCATCGTCATCAACAACATCGTCATCGTCATCAACAACATCGTCATCAACATCAACAATATCGTCATCAACAACAACATCAACAACATCGTCATCAACAACAACATCAACAACAACAACATCGTCATCAACATTGTCATCGTCATCAACAACAACATCAACAACATCGTCGTCAACAACAACATCAACAACATCGTCATCAACAACAACGGCATCAAGTCAGTAACCTGCTAGATATTTTTTGTTATCTAAACAATGATTATTTCAATTGACTATATCTATAAGTTTTTTTTCAGTAGTCTAATGTCGCCCAATTAGATAAATAACTTCCGAGAGCATTTACGGTTAGACTTTGATATCGAGCCAGTTGTTAATGAACCCACGTGGCCCTTACTGGACCAAATATTGATCATAGCTATAAAGGCTGCTCTGGACCAGTATTACTATAAGTATTTGTCGTTGATAAAAGAAGATCTTCATAGGGTAGCACTCAGCAATCAACTTACTAATTTCTCATAATGTGGTAAAAAGACAGGTGCGAGTGACGGAGCACTTTTAAGGGAATAATTTAATTTAACTTACAAGTATTATACTAATGAGTTACATAGAATATCATTTGTAAGTTATATTTTTAAGATAAGTATACTTTCAACATTACTTTTCATCAATAGCATTCATGTCATTTGATATGGAATCTATATACGAAAACAACGTTTTGTCCGAATGTTTGGATTAGTTGTAAGAGATTGATGAACAAGAACATCAAACTTTGTGTTAATTTATAGATGAAATGTTTAACTCTGAGTAGTCGGGAATAGGAGACCGAAGGAACTCCAGAAACCAAGCGCCAGACTGTCCTACTCCTAAATTTCGAAATATCTTAGTGGAGACAACCATAGAATATTAAAAAGCTAATGAGATTCTTAATTCTACCTATATTCATTTTATAGTATGTCCCATTATTGGCGTGGGTAGCGACTATATGCTTTATACACGTACAACTTTGACCAGCAACTGGGTCAATGTGCCTAACAGCGGTTCAGTTATTGCAGCTATTCAGCTAAACGATAGCACATTTTTGGGTATTGGAACTGATAACATACTCCGCACACGCGTTAATTTGACCAGCAACTGGACAATTGTGCCTAGAAATGATCTCGTCATTGGAGTTACTCAGTTGAATGATGGTACTTTTCTCGGTGTTGGTTTAGACAATATTCTCTACACACGCATCACTTTGAGCAGCAAGTGGGTGATTGTACCGAACAGCGGTCCCGTCATTGGAGTCATCCAGTTAATTGATGGCACTTTCCTCGGTATAGGCACAGATGACATGCTCTATACACGCGCTACTCTGAACAGTAACTGGATTAATGTACCTAACAGCGGTTCAATTATTACAGTTGTACAGCTAAGTGTTGGTACGTATCTAGGTGTTGGCATCGATAACGTACTCTACACCCGTGCCTCACTGAGCAGCAATTGGACTACTGTGCCAAGAACCGACCTGTTCATTGGAATTACCCAGTTGATTAATGGTACCTACCTAGGTGTTGGTATAGAAAACACACTATACACGCGCGTTCCTGGCAGTAACGAGTGGGCCTATGTACCTAACAGCAATAGCGTTATGGCAGTCACTCGACTAAGCAATGGAACAATTTTGGGCGTCGGCATGAATAATATGCTTTACACACGTGCCACTTTAAATAGCAATTGGGTCATTGTGCCTAACAGCAGCGCATTCATGGGAGTTGCTCAACTATTAAATGGAACATTTATAGGAGTTGGTATAAACAACCTACTCTACACCAGCACCACTTTAAATAGCAACTGGAGCGTTGTACCAAGATTTGATACATTTATTTCAGTTATTCAGCTAAATGACAGTACCTTTGTCGAAGTAGGTTCCGATTACATGCTTTACACACGTGTCAACTTGACCAGTAGACGAATTATTATACCGAACAGTGGCAATGTTATTGCAATCAGTCAACTTAATAATGGGTCGTTTCTTGGAGTCGGTAATGATAGCAGGTTCTATATACGCGTCACATTGAACAGCAACTGGGTTAATATACTTAACAGCGGCGCAGCTTTTGCTGGTATTCAGATGATAGATGGCACGTTTGTTGCTGTAGGCTTGGATTACACGCTCTACACAAGCCCCAATTTGAACAGTAACTGGGTTAATGTTGCGAACAGTAGTGGTATGAAAAGTATCACTCAGCTAAAAGATGGAAGACTTCTCGCTGCTGGCATCAATGGGCTGGTCTACGTACGCGCGTCTATTAATAGCACTTGGACCCAAGTAGTAGGTGACGGCGCAGTCATCACAATCACTCAACTACAAGATGGAACTTTTCTCGCTAGCAATGGAGCGAATCCTTACACACGCGCCAATTTAGATGGTACCTGGGTCATAGACTCAGTTAAAGACCTATTTATTTGGATTACTACACTTAGTGATGGCTCGTCGTTGGCTGTAGGTACAGATACTTTGCTCTATACACGTACTAATTCAACTAATAGATGGGTGATGGTATCTAATAGTGGTAACGTTATTGCAGTTACTCAGCTAAAAAATGGCACGTTACTTGGAGTTGACATAAATAATATGCTATGCACACGTGCTACTTTGAACAGCAACTGGATCAGCTTGTCTAATAGTGGGTCAGTTCTTGGGGTTATTCAGTTGAATGATAACACGTTTTTGGGCGTGGGCACAGACAAAACTCTCTACACTCGAATGACTTTGAACAGTAGTTGGATGTCGGTTCCAAATAGTGCTGCAGTTATGGCGATTACTCTTCTGAACGATGGGAGAATTTTGGGTGTAGGCACGAATAATGTGTTATACACACGTAATACGATAAACAGCAGTTGGATTCAAGTGTCGAACGACAACATATTCATTGCAGTTAGTCAGCAAAAAGATGGTACATTTTGCGGTATTGGTACAAATAATCAGATATATACTCGCGCGACGTTGAACAGTAGCTGGAGCAATGTACCTAACAGCGGTGCAGTCCTTGCCGCTATTCAACTAAAAGATGGTACGTTTCTCGGTGTTGGTGCATCAGATTACGGGCTCTGGACACGTACAACTTTGACCAGCAGCTGGGTTAGTGTGGCTAACAGTGGCAGTGTTATTTCAATCAGCCTACTTAACAATGGGACGTTGTTTGGTATTGGTACAGATAATCAGTTATACACACGCGCCACATTGAACAGCAACTGGGTTAATATACCTAATAACGGCGCATTCTTTGCTTGTATTCAGATGATAGATGGCACGTTTCTAGCTGTCGGCACCGATAGCACACTCTACACAAGCCCGAATTTAAACAGCAACTGGATTAATGTTCCCAACAGCGGTGTTATGAAAAGTATCACCCAGCTGAAAGATGGAAGAATCATAGGTGTTGGCACTGATACCAAGATCTACGCACGTGTCTCTGTTAATAGCAGCTGGGTTCTGTTGCTAGCTGATGGTGCCTTCATGAGATTTGTTCAGCTAAGCGATGGAACCTTTTTGGCTGTTGGCACAGATGACACTCTTTATGCACGTGCTACTCTGAACAGCAGTTGGGTCATTCAATCACGTACTGATCTATTCATTTCGATTACTACACTCAGTGATGGCTCGTCGATGGCTGTAGGTACAGATAATATGCTCTATACACGTACTAATTCGTCTAGCAGATGGATGATGATACCTAACAGTGGCAACGTTATTGCCGTTACTCAGCTAAAAAATGGCACATTTCTTGGAGTTGACACCAATTATATGCTCTGCACACGTACCACTTTGAATAGCAACTGGACAAGCGTACCTAATAGTGGGTCAGTCCTTGGAGTTATTCAGTTGAATGATAACACGTTTTTGGGCGTGGGCACAGACAAAACTCTCTACACTCGAATGACTTTGAACAGTAGTTGGATTTCGGTTCCAAATAGTGCTGCAATGATGGCGATCACTCTTCTTAACGACGGAAGAATTTTGGGTGTTGGTATAGATAATCTTTTATACACACGTGATACGGTGAATAGCAGCTGGGTTCTTACGTCAAACGGCGGCTCAGTCATTGGAGTTGCTCAACTACATGATGGTAGTATTCTTGGTATTGGTATGGGTAATGTAATCTATACACGTGATACGTTGAATAGTAACTGGGTTATGGTGCCAAGAAACGATCTATTTATTGGGATTGGTCAGCTAATGGATGGCACGATAATGGGTATTAGTACGGATAATATGCTGTATAAGTGCATGACGTTAAGTAGCAATTGGGTGATTGTGCCGAACAGTGGCCAAGTTATTGCAGTCACTCAACTAAGTGACGGTACATTTCTCGGAATCAGCAAAGATAAGATACTCTGTACACGAGTCACTTTGAATAGCAGCTGGATCATTATGCCGAGAAATGACCTGTTCCTTGGGATCATTCAGTTGACAGACAGTACTTTTGTCGGTATCGGTACGAATACCATGCTCTATACATTAACCAATATGGTCAGTAGACGTATTCAGGTCCCGAACAGTGGCCAAGTCATCGGAATTGCCCAGCTTAAGAATGGTACATTTTTAGGTATTAACACAGATAAGATACTTTGCACACGAACTACTTTGAATAATACTTGGGTGACGATACCAAGAAATGA